CTCCTTCACACACTATATTCCAGCCACACTCGTCTACTTGCTATCGCTGATGATAGGGAATTGTTTTTTGTCTTTGTATCCCTAGTACTTATCAGTGCCTGGCCCAGAAATACTTGTTGAATGAATGAAAGACAGTAACTACTATTCATAAAGTATGACAACCATGTGCTGAAGCAGCTACAAAGTCCAGAATTAGATTTCCTAAAGAACAGGGCTTAAAACCATAGGGAATGCTTATAACAGGTTACTGGAAAGTCGAACAAATTTTTTAAAAAATTTTTAAAAATTAATTTATTTTAATTTATCAACAATCACTTCCATAAGCTTTTGAGTTTTAAATTTTTTTTTTCCCTCTCTCCCCTCCTCCCTCCCCAAGACAGCGTGCAATCTGATATAGGCTACACATACACATTCCTATTAAACATATTTTCACATTAGTGATGTTGTAAGGAAGAATTAGAACCAATAGGAGGAACCACAAGAAAGAGAAAACAAAACAGAAGAAAAAAATAGCAAATAGTATGCTTCGATCTGCATTCAAACTCCATAGTTCTTTCTTTGGATATGGATAGCATTTTCCTCATGAGACCTTTGGAGATGCCTTAGATCCTTGCATTGCTGAAAATGACTAAGTCTATCAACGTCAGTCATCGCACAACGTGGCTGTTACTGTGTACAATGTCGAACAAAATTTTTTTAAAAAATTAACCTATCTTTTATTTCCAGAAAAGCTGTTATTCTCTATGTAATATTTTGAGCTAGCTGACTAGCTCAGTCCACAGTCTGTGTCCAGCTTACTTTTTAGTTTTTCTGCATGTTGTTTTCATTCACACACTTTATATTCTACCCAAACTGCCCTATTTGCTATTACCTTTAGATGATATTATATATGCTGTCTTCTTGCCTTTGATTACGCTGTTTCCCCATACTTGTAATGCACTCCCTCACCAACTCTGCTTCTTTATTAAAAATAAATTTTATTGCTATCTTTTGTTTTATAAAGCCTAAAATCCCTCCTTTCCTCCTTGCTCTGAGAGCCTTCCCTTACAACAAAGAATTTTTTAAATAAAAATAAGAAGACAAAAAAAAAGACAGCAAAACCAATCAATACATCCCCCCAAAATCTAATATATTCAGTATTTCACAGCCATGACGCCCCATCCCAAATCCATGTAGATAAAGACATAGGGATAGGTGTTTTCTCATACCACTTCTGTGGAACCAAGCTTATTCTTTGTCATTTTGCAACATTCATTTTGCAGGGTTTTTTCACTGTCATCGATGTAGTCATTGTGCATACTGTTTTCTTGGTTCTGCTAACTTTACTTTGCATCAGTATATGTAGATGTATCAAAGCTTCATTCAGCATATATTCAAGTACCATAATTTGTCTAGCCATTTACTAATCCATGGAGCTCTGTTTTCTTTCTAGTTCTTTGCTACTACAAAAAGTGCTGCCATAAGTATTTCGGTATGTATGTATGTATGTAAGTATGTATGTATGTATGTATGCATACATGTAAGTGTGTGTGTGTGTGTGTGTGTGTGTGTGTGTGTGTGTGTGTGTGTGTACATAAATATATTTAAATTAATGGCTTCCTTGGGATATATATCTAGCATTTGAATCTCTGGGTCAAAAAAGTACAACCATTTCAGCAACTTTATTTGCATAATTCCAAATTGCTTTTCAGAATGAATGTACTAATTAGTATTCCTTTCTCCAACATTAATTATTCCTCTCTTTTGCCTCCTTGGCCAATTTGCTGGCTATGAAGTAAAACTTCAGGTTTATTTTTATTTGCATTGCTCTTATTATCAGTGATTTGGAACACTCTTTCATATGGCTGATAAGTTTGCATTTTTTTTTGAGAAATCTTTGTTTATATCCTTTGACCACTTTTCACCTTGGCCTCTTAAAATCTCTATGTTCTAAAAAGGGTCAGATCAAATTCCACCTCCTAGAGGAGGCCTACCCTTATCTTTCCAGTTCTCTCCCTGAAATTATTCAGTATTGACTTTCTATAAATTTTGTATTTACTTATCAATATACATCTTCCCTTGCTGTTGTTGTTTTGATATTCCCAATGACTGACACGTAATAAGTACTTATGAAATATTTTTGAATTAATGACTTAATTCATCAAATTGGATATATAAAGATACATGTACTCTTAAATAGCTTACAACCTAATAGAAGGAAAGTCAAAACACTATAAAACCATAAGCCTACTCAATACATCTCATTAGGATGTACACATCATAAATTTTTTAGTGGTAACTCAATACTCAATCATCAAGGACATTATTTTCATTTTTCAAACCAAAGGAACTAAAAATTAGCTAATCTTTAAAATGAACAACCCAGCTTTACTTAAAATAACACATTCTTAAAAGCCGAGATCCACAACAGCAATTTTTTGTGACACAGGGACAGGGCAGGGAATGCCTACCACATGTGCTTATTTACAGATAGGAGAAAACAAACTAAGTTCAAAGGAGAAGCCCAGGACAAGTCCTGTGATGTGACAGAGAGGGACACGTGTTTTACTGTGGAAGTCAAGAAAAGGTTCATAGAAGAGCTAGTACCCGCTTTGGGCCTGAAAGGAGAAAAGCCTTAGCGTACAGAAGCAGCTGGTGTTGGGAAGGACATCATTTATTTCAAGGAATTGGGAGGTAAAGTGGGAAGAAGCAGAAGAAAGCAGGACGAGAACAACAGGGGGAACACAGTTCAGTTTGCCTAAAAGAGAGCACGCTTACAGAGGAATATCACGAGAAAGCAGGAAAGGATGGATGAACTCAGACTGTGAAAGGTCTTGCATGTTAGCACAAAGATTCTGTGCTTCACGTTTTAGGGTACAGCGAAACGCTGAAGGCTTCTGAGTGGACGGGTGACGTGAGATATCTATGTACAAATTATCTAGTTGCAATTAGAAATCTGGGGTTGGGATTCTGGGGAAAAGCTGGAACTACCGATACAGATTTGGCACTTACCTTCATAGAGGTAATAATATAGCCAGTTTGTTAATAAACATTTATTGATCTTCCATTAGGTGCCAGGCACTGTCTAAAGTATTGGGAAAATGAAGAAAGGCAAAAGACAAGTCTTGGCTCTCAAGGAGCTCACAGTCCAATGGGGAAGACAGCATCCAAGACAACTATGTACAAACAAGCTGTACACAGAACAAATTAATGATAATCAATAGAAAGAAGGCCATCGAGTTAAGAAGAATCAGGAAAAGCTTTCTGTAGAAGCTGGGGTTTTAGTCAGAACTTGAGAGAAGACAGGTAATCCAGGATATAGAGATGAAGGAGAGCATTCCAGCCATTAAGAATAGCCAATGAAGGAGGAGCTGAGTGGTGCAGTAGATAGAGCACCAGCCTTGGAGTCCAGAAGACCTGGGTTCAAATCTGGCCTCGGACATTTGACACTAGCTGTGTGACCCTGGGCAAGTCACTTAACCCCAACTGCCTCATCAAAAAAAAAAAAAAAAAGAACAGCCAACGAAAATGCCTGGAGCTGAGAAATGGCGTATCTTATGGGAGGAACAACAAAAAGGGCAGTGTCACTGGGTTAGAGCAGGGGGAGGGAGGTTAAATGTCAGAAGACTGGAAAGGTGGCAAATGAGGATTAGTGGGTATGGATGATAGGTCATGAAGGGCTTTGAATGCTAAACAAAGGATAGGGCATTTATTGAGTCCAGGAGGGTAGTGTGGCCACTTTAGGACGATCACTTTGGCATCTGAATGGAGGATAGATTAGAGTGGGGAGAGACCCACCTGCACATCACCCGCAATGATCCGGGTGGGAGGTGATGACGGCCTACGCTACAGTGGTAGCAGCGTCAGAAGAGGAAAGAGAGCGTATACAACAGATGTTGGAAGGGAGTGTATACAAGAGACACAGAAGTGTAATTCATGACTTAATAAAAGTAAAACAAATAACTGAATGTATATATGTAACACATAAGCAAAGGCTTAAAGAATTGAAAAAATGTCGTATTACATTACAGTAGAGAGCCTCTGCTTAAAAATGCTGATCAAATACCAACCTGTGCATGAAGTCTATCTTCATCTCCCCTCCCCTACTTGGTATAGATTTGTATTAATAACTTTACATTTGTCAGAGGAGGAACTGGAGCCTAGTCTTCCCAGCTCCCAGGCCAGTTCCCTGGTTATCATGCCAGACTATCAATTTTAAAACAAATCTCTAAAAGTAGGAACACCAACAATAACTAGCATTTATATAGAACTTTAAAGTTTGTAAATGCTTTACAAATAGTATCCCATTTGATCACCACAAGAACCTGGGAGGCAGGGACTCTCATCATGTCCATTTTACAGAGCACCTAAAGCCCTGAAAGGTTAATTGACTTTCCAGGGTTACACTGGGTCACATCATCTCTGTCTGAGGCAGAATTTGAAGTCAGGTCTCCCTGAGTCTAGGCCCGGCACTCATTCATGGAGTCATTCACCTGTAACACCTGCTACTTGGAAGGCTGAGGCTCATGGATCCTGTGAGCTTGGGAGTTCTAACCTGCAATGGCCTAAGGCTGATCAGGTGGCCACACTAGGTGAGACACCAACATGGCAAGCCTCTGGGGTGGGGGAGAATTCAGGCTGCCAGAGGAGGTGACAACTGGCCCAGGTCAGAAATGGAGCCAATTAGTAGTAGAGATGGATCTGTGAATGGCCACTACCCTTCCAGTTTGGGCGGGAGAGACAGAGCTAGTCTCCAGAAAAAAAGAGTAATAACAAAAACCAACAACACTTAAATTTAAATTTTGTATAATTGCATATAAACTCACTTTGTAACATCTGAGTCAGCTATAATGTTTACGAAATTATTTTTTTAATTTCAAGTAATCAATAAAATACAATATGCAAATTTTACTGGATACTTTTAAAACTGGTTTTTTATGTATAATACTAATGAAAACAAATACATTTAAATTACATTTTTATTCCTCTAAGTGCATCAGGATAAAAATAAATTGACTCACCTTTTCCTGCAGGCTGGGGAACTGCAAATCCAGGCAATAAAAATGGTGCCCCTGTGGTAATACCAGCTGGTTTTAGTTCACTGACACCATATGTTGTTAGAGAAGTGATCAAATTAACTAGATCTTTCAAAGCATCCTTGGATTCTGCCTCTTTTGCTTGTTCCAATCTATAAAAGGCAAGATGAGTTTGATTTACAACAAAAAAATACAGAGCCTTAAATTTAACACAAATACTAAATGTAATTTGCAAGTTAATAATGCGCTAGAACAACTACAAAACCCTACCTAAATCTACCTTACCTGCTTATTTTATCTATGTTTAACATGCTGACTACAGCTGAAAACAATGCACAGAGACATCTCCTTAGCAAGGAAACAAGAAAGGCCTGCTTTGATCTGGTTTATGCTGGGGGGGGGGGAGGGAAGGAATCTTATCTGCGCAAACTATGAAGACCTACAGAGTTGGCAAACTGAGTGTTCTAGTGGAAACAATGGGCACCTTGGTGGTCAGGGAGTAGTCACTCTTAGAATTTCTGATAAAGAAGGAAAAGAAAGCCAGGTATATACTAATATGAATCTTACATTTTTCTTTTTTGTTGCAATCTAATATTTTATTTTTCCCCAATTACATGTAAATGTTTTCAACATTTGTTTTTTAAAATTTTTGAGTTCAAATTCTTTCCCTCCCTCCCCAGGCCCCTCATTGAGAAAGCAAGCAATCTGATAGAAGTTGTACACGTACAGTCACGCAAAACATATTTCCATGTTAGTCACATTGTGAAAGAAAGTAGACAAAAAAATAAAGGAGAAATAAAGAACATAAACAAAAAGCATGCTCTGATCCCCATTGAAGACTTCCTTACTTCTTTCTCTGGGCTGGGTAGCACTTTTCATCCTAGGTCCTTCAGAACTGTCTTGGATCGCTGTATTGCTGAGAAAAGCTAAATCATTCCCAGTTGATCATCACAGGATAACGCTGTTACTTTATACAACGTTCTACCAGTACTGATACTTCTACTTTGCAGCAGTTCACGCGTGTCTTTCCACCATCCCAATCACAGCCTGTTCAGCCGTGCCCCAACGGATGGGCACCCCCTCAAATGCCAGCTCCTTGCCGCCACTAAAAGAACAGCTACAAATATCTTTGTGCATCTCGGTCTTTCCCCTTTTTTTGTCTTTGGGACACAGACCGAGTAGTGGTATTGCTTACTCAAGAAGCAGGCATGGTTTCATAGCCCTTTGGGTACAGTTCCGAATTGTTCTCCAGAACGGTTGGATCCATTCACAACTTCACCAATAGTGCATCAGTGTCTCAGTTTTCCCACATCTCCTCCAACATTTGCCATTTTCCTTTTCTATCATACTAGCCAATCTGATGCGGGTGTGGGGTGGTACCTCAGACTCGTTCTGATTTGCCTTTCTCTAACCAAAGGTGATCTGGAGCATTTTTTTTTCATATGACTATAGACATCTTTGATTGCTTTGTCGGAAAACTGCCTGTTCCTATCCTTTAATTTATCAGTTGAGGGATGGCTCTTATTTCTATATTTGACTCCGTTCTCTCCATATTTGAGAAATGAGGTCTTTACCAGAGAAACACGCTGCAAATTTTTTTTCACAGTAATAACTATCAACTATGTGATTCCCTCCATCCGATTGCCCCCATTTATCATACTCTCTTCTTTCACCTTTTACATTCTCAAAAGTGTTCTGCTTCTGACTTTTACCTCCCCCAATTCACCTTCCCTTCTCTCAGCCCCTCCCCTCCACCACTTCTCTTATCCCCTTCTCTTCCTACTTTCCTATATGGTAAGATAGATTTCTATACCCAACTGAGTGTGTATGCTATTCCCATTTTGAGCCAATTCCAGTAAGATTAAGTTTCACACACTCCACCGCCTCCCGTGAGATAAGTTACCCCACTGTACCTCTCCCTTTCTCTTTCTTCCAACGCATTCCTTCCTTACCCCTTAATTTTAGTTTTTTTAAGATAATTATCCCATTATATTCAACACACACTTGTGTCTTTTATCTATGTAGACTCCTTCTAATCCCCTAATAATGATAAAGTTCTTAGGAATTATAAGTAACAATTTACCGTGTAGGAATGTAAACAGTTGAATCTTACTGAATCCCTTATGATTTCTCTTTCCTGTTTACCTTTTTATGCTTCTCTTGCGTTTTATATTTGAAAGTGAAATTTTCTATTCAGCTTTGGTCTTTTCATCAAGAATGCTTCAAAGTCCTCTTTTTCACTGAATATCCATGTTTTCCCCTAAAGATTATACTCAGTTTTACTGGGAAGGTGATTCTTGGTTGTAATCCTAGTTTTTTTGCCCTCAGGAATATCATCTTCTAAGCCCTCTGATCCTTTAAAGTAAAAACTGCTAAATCTAATTATATTATCCTGACTGTGGCTCCACAATATTTGAATTGTTTCTTTTTGGCTGCTTGCAATATTTTCTCCCTGACACGGAAGCTCTGGAATTTAGCTATAATGTGCCTGGGAATTTTCATTTTGGGAATCTCTTTCAGAAGGTGATCAATATATTCTTTCCATTTCTATTTTACCCTCTGGTTCTAGAATATCAGAACAATTTTCTTGAAAATTTCTTAAAAGATGATATCTAGGCTCTTTTTTTTTATCATGACTTTCAGATAGTCCAATAATTCTTAAATTATCTCTCCTAGATCTATTTTCCAGGTCAGCTGTTTTTCCAATGAGATATCTCACATTTTCTTCTATTCTTTCATTCTTTTGATTTTGTTTTATTGTTTCTTGATGTGTCATAAAGTCATTAACTTCCACTTGCCCAAATCTTATTTTTAAGGCATTATTTTCTTCAGTCAACTTTTGTACCTCTTTCTTCCACCTGGCCAATTCTACTTTTAAGGAGTTCTTCAGTGGATTTTTGTACCTCTTTTTCCATTTGGCTAATTTTCTTTTCAAGTTCTTCTCTTCGGTGAATTTTTATGTATCTTTTCCCATGTGGCCAATTCTGCTTTTGAAATCATTCTCCTCTTCACTGGATTTTGTGCCTCTTTTACCATTTGGCCTATTCCATTTTTTTAAGGTGTTATTTCTGTCAGAATTTTTTTATGCCTCCTTTACCAAGCTATTGACTCCTTATCCATGATGTTCTTGCATCACTTTTATTTCTCTTCCCAATTTTTTTTTTACCTCTCTTATTTGATTTTTTAAAATCATTTTTGAGCTCTTCTATGGCCTGAGATCAACTCATATTTTTCTTTGAGGCTTTGGATGTAGCAGTTTTGAGTCTTCTGAGTGTGTGCTTTGATCTTCTTTGTCATCACAGTAATTTTCTATAGTCAGGATCTTTTTCTCTTTTTGCTCATTTTCCCAGCCTGTTTCTTGACTTTTAACTCTATGCTGAAGTAGGGCATCTGTTTCCAGAGTGGAATGGCTACTGGCCTAAGCTTCAGGTTTTTCTGTGCATATATTTTCAAAGATAATTCTGGGGACCTTTAAGTTTTTGATTCTTCCCAGGTGGTATATCTAATGAGAGGAGTCTCCCAGCCTGTGCTTTGGTCTGTGAGAGATCACACGCACTATTTTTCACCCTGGAACTGTGACCATGACCAGGGTCCCAGCTTCTCTGTGGCTGCAAGCTCTGGTGTGCTAGTACTCCTCCCTGTCCTGCGACTGAGACCCAGGACTGCAGCCCAGATCCAAGTATGGACAATGCAATACAGGCCTGCCCCCAGTGCCAGCAAATGGACCCCCAAAACTCCTTTGACCAGTTTCTGGACCCTTTTACTGTCTATGGACTTAGAGGTACGGAGAATTCCATTGATACAGTCACCACCAAGGTCTACTACTGGTTTGCTGGGACACAGTCTAGCTTGCCAGACTGGGCTCTACTCTCACCCTCACCCCCAATAGACCTTTCCTGCAACCTTAGTTCTAAGTTGTCTTGGGCCAGAAAGTTGTTTCGCTCAGTGCTTTTGTGGGTTCTGCCACTTCCCAATTTGATTTGAGGCATGATTTAAAATTGTTTGGAGAGGTTTGGGGGAAAGCTCAGGCAAGTCCCTGCCTTTTCTCTGCCATCTTGGCTCCACCCCTCAAACCCTGTATTTTTCTAAAACAAATTTCAAAGGGTTCAGAGAAAAGATAAATAGGAGATCATGGGCAAAAACTACATAGAAGAAGTCAGCCCAGAAGAGGAAGCTCTTATTAAGGAAATTCCCAAGACACAAGAAGAAACAGTTCTGATGAGGAAGCAAAAAGAGCAGTATTGTCTAAAGAAACTAAGGTGAGTGCCCAGAGAACTCATCAACTAATTTAGGTTTTATTTATGAAATAATTTTTATTGATGCCTTTTGTTTCAATCATTTTGGGATACTGCCTCCTTTACTTTGCAATAGAGCCCTACCTGTAACAACAACAATAAAAAGATAAAACAAAACCAATCAATAATATATTATCTTACAGCTTATGTAAACATCACACCCTCTAGTTTCCCATCCTAACTCCACCCAGTTTCAAATGAAAGAAGGAAGGTGTGTTTCATCACATATTCTCTGGGACCAAGATGTTTCATGATAATCTCTCAGAATTTAGATTTCATTTTAATTTATATTACTGCAGCCACTGTGTTTACTGTTTCTGTATGTTGTTTTCCTAGTGCTTCTTACTTCACTCTATCAGTTCACTGAAATCTTTTCTTTCTCTTATTTCCTCAAATTTCTAATCGTTCAAAAATATAATTATATTCATATATCATAATTTGTTTAATATATGTGGGATCCTTTAGTTTCAAGGTTTTGTTTTTGTTATTGCTATAGCAAAAAAATGTTCCTATAAAAATTCTGAAAGACATGGGGCCTTGTTGTAAAAGCTCTGAGGTGCACTGCACTGGTGAAGTTGCTGGGCTAAAAGTCTGGTGAATGTTCTTGCATAACTTCAAATTGTTTTTACATAGTATATGTGGAATATTTCAGAGCTGCATCTATGGTGTATTAGTACTGTTCCTGTATTCCCACAGCCTTTTCAACATTGACTATTTCTGTTACCATCTTTACCAATTTCATGGGGATGAATAAGACCTCAGTTTTAAAATGTGAAATTCTCTTAATATTAGTGGTTTGGAGCATTTTTATATACCCTAATGATGGGTAACATTATATAACACTTCAAGATTTGGAAAGCACTTTATGTATACTATCTCATGTACTTTGGTCCTAACCACAATCCCATTACAGATGCTATTATTACAGCCATCTTATGGATAAGAAAACTGAGGCTGAAGGCATTTTAAATGACTACACAATGAGTGTCTGAGGCAGAATTCACACTCTATTTTCAAGCCTCCCATTTCTACACTCCATCGATTAAGCTACTTAGACTGTTTCTTCATGTCCTTTGCCCACTTATTCATTAGGGAATATATCTCAATCATAAGTTAAAGTCAGCTGGTCCACATGAAGAGCATCCTAGAAGAATTGGCTAGCATATGATCAACTAAAGTAATCTCTGAAAGAACATGGGAAATGAGAAAAGAAAAATCTCTATTCCCCATTCCATCTCCCCCACAAACAGGAAAGAGAAGCATCTACAGACAATTAGGTTGATTGTTATTCCTGGGAAAACTCTAGAATATGTTACTAGAGAGATGGTAATTGAACATCTAGAAAAGGAAGCAGTGATTACAAGGAAACATCAAGAACAGGTCATGCCAGACTAAACATTACTTTTTTTGACAAGGTTATTAGAATGATAGATCAGGGAAAGATTCTAACACAGCACTTGATAACGTTTCTTATGCTATTCTTGCAGGGGGAAGGGGGGGAATGGAACAATTAAGAGCTAGATGGAAGGTGAATTCATTGAATGGCCCAAAGAGTACTCATTAGTAACTTAATGGTATGCCTCAGGGATCTGTGCTCAGCATTATATTTTTTAACATTTTCACTAATGACATAGATGTTACTTAATCAAATTTGCAGATAATAATAATAGCTAGAATTTTATATAGCACCTACTATGTGCCAGGCATTATACTAAACTCTACAAAGCTATAAGAACAACTTACACCCTGGATGGGTCAGTGTTCAAAAAGATCTTCACAGGCTAGAACACTGAACTAACTGTACAAAAACAAAATTTAACAGGGACACATATAAAGTTTTAGAACTAAGTTCAAAAAATCCATTTTAGGGGGCAGCTAGGTGGTGCAGTGGATAAAGCTCTGGCCTTGGAATCAAGAGGACCTGAGTTCAAATCTGGCCTCAGACACTTGACACTTACTAGCTGTGCGACCTTGGGCAAGTCACTTAACCTTGATTGCCTCACCAAAAACAAATAAATAAATAATAAATAAATAAACCAAAAAAAATCATTTTACAAATAAAGCACTAGAGAGGCATGGCAAAAGAGTATGGAGAAAAAATAAATAAAGAACCCTGAAAGGTTTATTGGAGGTAAGTTATAACTAGGACATGACATACAAGAGAGCTAAAGCAATCTAGACTGAATGAAGAGAGATATGACACCTAGAATAAGGAAGTGGTATTCCTATTCTCCTCTGCCCTGGTCAGACACATGGAATACTGTGTTCTCTTCTAGGCAACACCTTTTAGGGCATCCGAAGGAGTGTTATACTTAAATGGGATTCGGCTGACACTCTTTTTCCTGAAAGGAACAGCTAGAAGCCATGGGTGTTAGCTGCAAAAAGGCAAATTTAATTTGATGAAAGGAAAAACTTCATTTTAGGATGTCAACAGGCAATCACAACTTCATGAAACTTGCATGAAAAAGAGGTTTACTGCAAGAGAAATGAACATGCATGTGGAACCAAAGAGTCCACAATGCATACAGAATTTGCATATTTCTCTGGACAAAGGAAGGAGGAGAAAACACAAATCTCCACCTCAAGGGGAATGGCATGAGTGGCGAAAGGTGCAGTAAAAGTGTGGAAAAGGTCAAAATCCCTCCCAAAGGGAGGAGCAGAATGATAGCAAAAGCCTCATTCTTTTCCCTTGGTAATTACTAAACTATGAAAATAGGATGGGTCTGCTGATCACAAGCCCAGTGCAGACTTACTGGTGCCTGTCTCGACTCCCAAGGACGTACAGGAAGTCCAGTCTGGGATGTAAACAACACATTATGTCACCTAGGGGTGGGAGTGGGGACAAAGGATCTTTGCCTCTGCATGACACATTCAGGCCTCCTGCATACTCCAGGTACAGGGTTTCTGGAAAATATGGCAATTCAAAAAGACAAGTTCAGGGGACCTCTTAATATTCCTCAACAAGGCATACCCAAAAGTATGCCTTGGGAAGTGATGGACTCCTCCGTGAGTCACTGACAGCTTTTTCAAAAACAACAGAGGACCACTTGTTGGGTATACCATAGATAGACCAGAAGGCCTCTGACATACACTCCAGCTCTGAATCCATGACTTTAAATCCAACAATCTTTCTCTTTTTAAAATACATTTTATTAATGTATTTTGTCTTTGAACCACAGTTATTTCTGTGGGAAAAATCATCCTTTCATCTTCAATCATCTTCAAATCATCAAATGAACACTTCCTTGTGACAAAAACAATTAGTAAAAATATTCAGTAGAGAGGCTACATCAAACAATATATACAATATTCTACCAATATTGGGATAAGAGGACAAAACACCCTTCAATCAAGGGCTAGGCTTTTGGGGCATTTTGTAGAGGAACTTCTCTTTAAGATAAGGGTTATTTATACAGGAGGTCACTGAGGAACCTTCCAACACTGAATTTTATAACTGTGAAATTATAAAAATATTCTTCCTAAAATAAACTGGAAGCAAAGCTATCTCCAAGGAAGACTTTCATTTGTGTCGGGATTTGGCTGATTTGACAGTACAACATGAGGCATGTTGTTAAAAGAGCTTAATAAATGCTTTATCAAACAGCTGACTTTTATTCACTCGAATATTGCTCGGTTTGTTCCAGCTCGATGCAATTTTGATGCCAAGGCAGCTTTATGAATAAGTGACTATACATAGTTTGCAAAACATTTTGTGAGATGAAGCCCTTTTAGAAAGACTGCTCTACATCCTCTTAAACTTCTCCTAACATGGCTGCTTCACTCGAGTCCTACTCCAATGTCTCCTCATGGCGCGGAGGTGATTCTTGATCAGTAGGGCATAAGTTTTGGCAAGTGCTACCAAACTGGAAGAGTTCCAAGTGATGGAGAATGTCTATTACTGAGGAACAGAATGCAGAGGGCTTTTACTCTGTTACTAGACAACAGTGTCTATATTGATAAAATCACAGATGTTTTTAAATATTAAAGTAATAATATGGTAATAATGTAACATACCTTTCTGGTTCAACCACTTATTTTGTTGGTCTGACACATACTAGGAGTTTGGTCATGGGCATGTCACTCACCTCCAAATAAGTTACAAACTTTCTAATATTTATTATAAAATTAACACAAACTTCTTATCCAAAAGGGTGGAGGGAGTTCACCACCCCTCCCCTTGCTCCCCCCCCCTCATAAAAGCATAGTTGCAGACCAAGAATAGACAGACAAGAAAACACAGGGGAAGAGCAATGAATAAACATTGTATCAGGTATACATATACCTGCCTCACTAGTAACAAAGTGTGGCTCAGGATGAGAGGGACTAACTACAAGGGAATGTGTTAGAATGCACAGAAAGCCTAGGAACAGCAAGGAGGGAAGGCACACGCTTCTCAGGAGCACTTGCCACCAGACATACATCTTATGGATTTGTATAACTTCTAGGAGAAAGAATGGGTGCCGCTAGCGTACTTAATATAACAAGTATTTATATAGCTCTATATAACCACATCTCATTCTTCTTAATAAAACAGACTGAAATAGAATAAAGTAGAGGTAATTAAAAGTGAACTAAAGAGGGGAAGATTCTTCATCAGGCCCAAGACAGGACGACGCTAAATTATTTCTTTCACAAGTACCAAGGGACTGCCTAGTAAAGAAGGAAAACGGTTTACTCTTCCTCGTGTTTGCCACTCTTGCTGATCCAATTCCCCAGAGCACATCTGATGTTCTAGGCAATCATACCTTTGCTAGAAAACAGTAGTGCATTAAGGCCATATACTCCATTTGTCTATGTAAGAGGGCTGTGATGGCCCAGGAATGGGGTTGGGTATTTGGAATGATAAGAAAAAAATTAAATAAAGGCAACTGATCCTGTGAAAACAAGCATTAAATTGAAAAAAAAAATTCTTTGCTTTCTGTTTCCTCCCCTCCCAAAAAAATAACTGGATCTAATTATGCAAATGCACACACAAATCACACAGAAATAAATGAGACAAAAAGAATAAAAAACTCAACAGAAAAAAAACATTAATAAAATACATGCTTCATACCTGAGCAAGAGATCACAGAGAAAGTTATATCCTTGCCATATCCTAAAGTCATCAAGTAGTGTTTGAGAAACATCACTGGAGTCTTTGAGAAAGCAAGAAAGCCCAGCAAACATTTCAACGATCTCTAGGGGAGAAAGATCATCTGACTGCTGCATATTCTGGACACATGTTGACAAACATTCTTTTTCTGTAAGAACAAAAAGTTACAACAAATATATATTAACAACAAACAATTTTCAATTACTTTGCACATTTTTATTCATCCTTAAATGTGACTAAGCTAGCTGTTAAATATTTAGAAATTACAATGTTACATTTAAAATGACAGACAAGATTTAACTTCTTTTGAAAGTAAAAAGAAATTTCACATTATTTGGTAGAAAATTATGCCTCTAAAACAGAAATTATATACAGAAAAATACTGGAAATAATTCAAGTCAATTCAATTCAATAAACATTTATCAAGTGCCCATCACATGCAAGGCATTATAAACTTGGAAAAAATCTAGAGGAAGAATCAACTTCAAAACAAAAGACCTGGGTTCAAATCTTGCTTCTGTCACATCTTAACTGTATAATAATGTTTCAGGGCACAAGGTCACTCTCTCAGCCTCAACTGCAAAGCAAGTGCAAATCTTTACCTGGAGAGACAGCTTTTTATAGTAATGAAATAATGAAATAAACGAAATGTTAAAAAACCGAAACTAAAATATAATGTACAAGCACTGGACTAGATCCTAGGGACACAAAAAGGCAAAAATGAGCAGTACCTGGGCCCTGAAGGAAGACACATCAATATAGGTTAAACACTGTGTGTGTACACGCACATGTGAGCTCACACAGAGACAGAAACAATACATTTTGATGGTCTATTTCCATCACAGAATAAGAATAGTCAGCATTGATGTAGCACTTGCTATGTGCCAGGCACCGTCCGAAGCACTTTAAAAATATCATCTCATTTGATCCTCATAACAACTCAGAAAAATAGTTACTGTTATTATCCCCATTTTACAGTTAAGAAAACAAAGGCAAATAGAGATAAAGTAATTTGCCCAAGGTCACACAGCTAATAAGAGTCTGTGTCCAGTTTTGAACACAGGCCCTGACTCCAGGTCTGGCACTGCACTGCCTAGCTGGGAGCATAGGGACGTTAGAGGCCATCTTTTCCAATCTCTTTATTTTACAGATGCGGAAACTGAGACCCACATAGGTTAAGTGACTTGCCAAAGTCTATTTCCACATTATAGTCTGGATTTCTTGTATTATTACAGCATAAAGACAAGAGACAAAGGAATATCTACTGGTTTTTTTTAAATTTTATTAATTTATTTTGATTTATCAACAATCACTTCCATATGCTTTTGAGTTGAAAATTTTTCTCCCCCTTCCTCCCCCCCACCTTCCCCAAGAGGGCGCACAATCTGATATAGGCTTTACATTTACATACCCATTCAACATATTTTCACATTAGTGAAGTTGTAAGTAAAAATCAAAACCAATAGGAGGAACCATCAGAAAGAGGAAACAAAACTCAACAGAAGGTAAAAATAAGTAAGAGCGATTTCGACTTCCATAGTTCTTTCTTTGGATATGAACAGCATTTTCCATCCTGAGGCCTCTGGAGATGTCTTAGATCCTCATAATGCTGAGAAGGGTTCAGTTTAACAATCTTAGTCATCGCATAACGTGGCTGTTATTGTGTACAAAGTCCTCTTGGTTCTGCTCACTTCACTCAGCATCAGACCATATAAGTCTTTCCAGGTTTTTCTGAAGTCAGCCTGTTCATCATTTCTTATAGCACAATAGTATTCCATTACATTCATATACCACAACTTGCTCAGCCATTCCCCAATTGATGGGCATCCTCTCAATTTCCAATTCTTTGCCACCACAAAAAGAGCTGCTATGAATATTTTTGTACATGTGGGTCCTTTTCCCATTTGTTTGATCTCTTTGGGATATAGCCCTAGAAGTGCTATTGCTGGATCAAAGGGTATGCACATTTTTGTAGCCCTTTGGGCATAGTTCCAAATTGTTCTCCAAAATGGTTGGATCATTTCACAACTCCACCAACAATGTATTAGTGTTCCAATTTTCCCACATCTTCTCCAACATTTATCATTTTCCTGTTTTGTCATGTTGGCCAATCTGATAGGTGTGATGTGGTACCTCAGAGTTGTTTTGATTTGCATTTCTCTAATCAATAATGATTTAGAGCATTTTTTCATATGACTATAGATGGCTTTAATTTCTTCATCTGAGAACTGTCTGTTCATATCCTTTGACCATTTATCAATTGGGGAATGGCTTGTGTTCTTATAAATTTGTCTTAATTCTCTATATATTTTAGAAATGAGGCCTTTATCAGAGAGACTGGTTGTAAAAATTCTTTCCCAATTTTCTACCTTCCTTCTAATCTTAGTTGCATTGGCTTTGTGCGAAACCTTTTCAATTTAATGTAATCAAAATTATCCATTTTGCTTTTCATAATGTTCTCTATCTCCTGTTTGGTCATGAATTCTTCTGTTCTCCATAGATCTGATAGGTAAACTATTGCTTGTTCTCCCAGTTTACTTATGGTATCAGCTTTTATATCTAAGTCCTGAACCCATTTTGACTTTATTTTGGTATATGGTGTGAGATTTGGGTCTATGCCTAGTTTCTGCCACACTCTTTTCCAGTTTTCCCAGCAGTTTTTTTCAAAGAGTGGGTTCTTATCCCAGAAGCTAGAGTCTTTGGGTTTATCAAATAATAGATTACTATAGTCACTGACTACTGTGTCTTGCATATTTAACCTATTCCACTGATCCACCTCCCTATTTCTTAGCCAGTACCAAGCAGTTTTGATGATTGCTGCTTTATAATACAATTTAAGATCTGGAATTGCTAGGCCACCTTCCCCTGCATTTCTTTTCATTAGTTTTTTTGATATTCTGGGAATATCTACTGTTTTAAAGGAAAATTAGAACAGTGCAAATGCAGTGCAGAATGACACAGAAATAGTCCAGGTAAGAGGAACACAGAAAGTTGCTACCAGTTTGGGACACAATCCTGTCAACCAAATTATGAGTGGTTGGGGAGCAGATTTCCATATTCTCTTATCTTCAGTCAATTTTTCACAAAGAAATCTATCTCATGTAAAAATCAAAAGAGATTAAGTGGAAAGGAAGATGAATTTATTTCAAATTTTATTTGAAACATCAGTTACAAGTCAAGTAAAATTTGGCTAGGATAAAAAATAAGCAAACTGTTTGGGAACGAAGCCAGCTATCTCCTATTTAGAAACTGTTGGGGACTTACTGACATTAAGACACATATAATAAGTAAAACAACTAAATCAGGATTTTCTTAGTAAGAATCGGTGATAAGAAAAGCCTCCATCTGTGCTATAAGTTTCTTCAGCATCACTGTTACAATTGTGTTAGTGTAGGCGGTACCCTCCCACACAGATGATAAACCCTGCCCCCATGAGCACTTTTATGAGCTTCCACAACACAAAAAAAACTTCATTATCTATCAGCTAGCATTCTAGTAAGAGCCTCTCTGCATGTAACTAGGCTGGTCCTCAGTTCCTCCTGGCCTTTTTTTGTTTGTTTTTGTTTTTGGTGAGACAATTGGGGTTAAGTGACTTGCCCAGAGTCACACAGCTAGTGAGTGTTATATGTCTAAGGCTGGATTTGAACTCAGGTCCTCCTGACTCCAGGGCCAGGGCTCTATCCACTGCGCCACTGAGCTGCCCGTCCTCCTGGGCTTTTGCAATCTGGCAGAGACTGTGCTCTCCCTTAACCACAGCCTTGGAAAATAGCAGTCAGCAACATGAAGCATCAGGGCAGGAATCTAGTAGGAGATACTGTCAATAAAAAAGATCATTTGTGCTCCTGATGGACACTCTCTTCAAAGATCAAATAAGATTATCTACAAAACCTCAGAAATGAAATCTCACATTTTTATGGGAGGGAGAATGACCATGACTCAACATTCAAGCTGAAGTGAAACAAATTTTTCCAGATACATATTTTAGAATTTTTAAGAACTCAGTGAATTTCATGATATACCTAAATAAACATGGATGAGCATATTTTCATTGCCAACTTAAAACACAAAGAAAATCTGCTTATAAATACTTTTATTTTGAAGAATTAGGAGAGGAAAACTGGACAAAATGAAAAAAACAATTTTACCCACCATGAATATACTTTACTACATTGACGCTAAGCCCATGACGTGATATGGTCATGAGAACTTCCCCTGCACTCTTCCTCCAAGGCAAGTTATAGGGAGGGCACCAGGAGGTTATTGCACTGAATAAAAGCTGGAGATCATCTTTCTGAGCCAGCTCTTCTGCTGGGGACACAAAACTGCAGAGTTTCACCAATATCTATAAATGAATAAAAGCAATCAATCAATCAATCAATCAATAAACTGAGAGTGAGAGATTAGACCAGTGGGAGAAGGAAAGAAGAAACACACCTAAAATGTAGTTTTAAGGTATCACTACATTAGAACCAGGTGGAACTAATGCTTTTGATTTTAAAGTATCAATAAAAACCTATAACCTGGAGGTATGCTATATTATCATCACAGCATGTACTTTAACAGGTTTACATAAGATTTATATATTTTTTTCAACTGTTTCATATAGAATAGATCCGTTTGTCTCATACTACTATAAAAAATATAACCACAATAATTAAGAGTCACATCTCATCTTGATATGTAATATGCCAGAAATAGAACTATTTTGATAAAAATGAAGAAGTAGGAAGTCAGGAAAAAATAAAAGCTCTGAAGACAAAGGAATCTTGGGAGAATAATTGTTCATACAAATAGAAAAGAAAGTTACCTTAAATCATGAGGCCATCTTAATTTAATCCAATACTTAATTTATGTGGAAAACCTCATCATTTAAAAGGCAATTTTCCACAATACCACAACTAGGCATATATCACAAAGAGATTAAAAAAAAAGGAAAAGGATTCATATGTACAAAAATATTCATATTATGTCTCTTTATTGAAGCAAAGAAACTAAGGGGATGCCCAATAATTGGGAACAGTTGAAGAAATTATAGCATATTAACATAATGGAATATGGCTATGCCATAATAAATAATGAAAGGGACAACAGCAGTAAAAGCTGGGAAGACTTATAAAAGATGATGCAAGATTAAACAGAATAAGAAGAACAATTAATAAAATAACAACACTATAAAAACAAACAACTTTGAAATACAACTCTAATGAATGTCATTACCGACCTTGATTCCAGAGGACCAATGATGAAGCATGCTACCCACCTCCTTACAGAGGTGATAGAATTAGGGCATGTAAAATAAAATTTATGTTTTTTGACATGGCCACTGAAAGAATATGACTCAGTTGATTATGCATAGATATATTACAACTTTTTTATTTTCTTTTTTGACCCCAGTTGGGTTCCAGTGAGGAGGGAAGAGAGAAAACCCAATTAAAGTTAGTTGAAAAAAAAAAATCTAACATTTTTTAAAACGTCATTTCTAAGCATTTGAACTTTAGCTAATGACTTTTAACTAGAAAGAAGAATGAAGGTTTGCTGGTACGTGTGTAGAGGTTGGCTTTGGAATCAGGAAGACAATGGCTTCAACTCCCATTCCATTTTGGTCTAGAACTTACGTGCCTATGGGTGCTCATCTACATTAGTAGATTATACCAATGAAATCACAGGAATAGTCAAAACACACACACACAAAATAATAATAATTGCTATATCTATATCATCATCATCATCATCGTTGTTGTTCTCATTATTTCACTTAAATGTTTCATGGGCTGAAACTCACAGTAAGAGTAAGGTATAAACAGAGAGCTGGTCTAGGCTCAGCAGTTCTCTAAATGGTATCAATGGATCTAGATGGCACTTCTTAAACTGTGGGTTGCGACCCCATACGGGGTCTAAAGGGGTCACAAGTGGACAAAGTTTAAGAAGCCCTGATCTAAAGGATACATCTCCAGCATGACAGGCACACATCTTGTGCAGAAGTTACAGAAGAAACATGGAGAACAGTCTCACAAGATGGAAGGGTGTGGATTGGTTGACATTTGTACTGTTTGAATGAGTAGCCATCTGGTTGAGATAGTTAGGATATAACTGTTTGGTAGAAAGTCACTCAAAACTCTGTGCTTTACTTTCCTTTGTATAATATGATCTCACCCCTTAGTATTCCATAATCTACATAAAGAAATGAGGTAAGCAATAAAGTAAGCACAGGTAAATGAATTTTTGAAGTACTCTGATCATCCTGGTGATGAGTTCTGAGAACTCCCACATGTTGACAAAAGTCAGAAATAAATTTCTAAGTTAAGAGATACCTTTTATTTACTACAAGATCTGTTAGGAAACTTGCCCTTCTGCCTTATGAGCACAGATTTTTATCTCATAGCAAGCAAGCCAACTGAGGGGAAACAGAACATAAAAGACAGAATCCACATGTCATGAATAGGCGTGAGAGACGATAAGAGAATTAACAGATAATGTTAAATGGTAGCTAAGTAAATGAGTGCTCAGAAGACAGGAAATTAATAAGTACAGAGAATACACCATGTACACACACACATGCACAAGAAGGGCACAGAGTTCCTTAAATATATCTATGTGCTTTTGCTGTAGTGCTTTAGTCATTTCAGTCATGCCGGACTCTCTGAGACCCCATTTGGGGTTTTCTTGGCAGAGATACTGCAGTGGTTTGCCATTTCCTTCTCCAGCTCATTTTAAAGATGAGGAAACTAAGGCAAAGAGAGTTAAGTGATTTGTCCAGGATCATACAGCCGTAAGTTTTTGAGGCCACATTTGAACTCAGGTCTTCCTGACTCCTGGCATTCTATCCACTGCACCACCAGCTGCCCTACTGGGAGAAGGTTAACTGTCACTATTCCTAATTATCTTAAGCTCAAAAATATGAACTATATTGGCCTTAACATTCACTGTGAAAGTCACACTGGTTTTTTAGGTGAATTAAAACCATTTCTACATCTTGACTGAATGAAGCACAAATAGAATGAAAGCATTATGGACAACTGTACTACTGCAAAGATATTGCAACGTTAGCATGGCAGTAACTGCTCAACCTAAGAAAGTTATCTGCCACAAAATACAAAGACAAAACATTCGTCACAAAATATATCCCTGAAATGACTAATAATTATCACTGAAGTGCCACTTGATTCATGGGGAAATTATAAAAATAATCCCTCACTTGTCAGGCAGTAAACAAAATAAAATGTAACATAGAAGAAAGAGACTTGACCACGGGAAGAAGAGACCTGTTTCAAAACCCCAACATGGCCACCTAATTCATAAAAGTTGGGTTCTAAAAGTTTGTCTGTCAGTTATTTGGAAATTAGTCATTTTCTTACACAAAATAATTAATAAGAAAAACTGACATTTCTACAGCCCTTTAATCTCATTTGATACTCACAACAACTTTGTGAGGTATCATCACGGGCATTATTATATTCACTTCACAAATAAGAAAACTAAGGATCCAAGAGACAGGTTAGCATGCTTATCAGATCAGCAGATGGCACAAAGTTGGGAGGGACAGCCAACAGCATGAATGGATGGATGGATTGCAGTATCAGGACGCAAAAAGATCTTGACAGATCAGAACAGGTTAACTTGAACAAGGTGACCTTAATGGGGATAAAATGTTTTATACATTTGAAGATATATAAACAAACTCACTTCACAAATTCAGGATGGGGGAGACTTGATTAGACAGCAGTTGTCTGGTGGGGAAAATCTAGGAATTTTAGTGGACTGCAAGCTCAATACAAGTCAAAAGTGTGATATGGTAGCCAAGAAAATAATACAATCTTCAGCTGCGTGAATAAAGACAATGCAGTCCTGCCACACCCTGCCCTCCTCAGACAACACCTGGAATTCTGTATTCGGGTCTGGGCACTACATTTTAGAAAGGACATTGAGATCACCCCACTTTCTTCCTAGCGTGTCAAATCACCAGTAAGAGGGCCAGGCCCAAATGAGTAGACTAGCATTCTACCTACCTGGACAAAGACTTTCTGGAGAAGTCCTCGGCGCTCGGCCAGAGGTAGCTCGTTCTGTGCACCTCCAACTACCTCAGGCACATGCGGGAGGTCAAAAAATAGATAGAGACATTTAACCAGTGTGGAAGGCACTGACATAGTGGTCATGCAGTCTACAGTTTTCTGGAAAACTAAATCCAAAGAAATCCAAACATTATGCAGTTGAACAAACTGTTAACACTCAAATTGTAATTATAAAACATACAATTTGAGGTAACATCATTTTAAGGATTGCAAAGATAAAAAATATATTGAGAGAGACAAGATATTCCATTTCCAAACTTACATGACTTGTTTAAATATTATAATATCAAGATTGTTCTGAAACATCACAGAATCTCAGGACTAGCAGGGCTTGAAACAGAACATCTAAAGTAGGGTGGGGAACCCTAGGCCTTGAAACCACATGTGGCCTTCTAGATCCTTAAGCGCAGTCTTTCGACTGAATCCAAATTTTACAGAATAAATCCTTTTATTAATATTATTATTATTTCATAATTCTAAAGCATTTTTAAACTGGTGGGGATGACCTCACCTTTGGCATTCCAAACATAAGAATCTATTCTACTTTTCAGATTTCCAAGTCTTACCCAAAATCAGCTGATGGTTTTGAGTTTCATTTTATCACTTTAGCTTTAATTCTTAATTATCACCCTCCTATAATTCTGTGTGTGTGGAGTTTGTTACTAGGCTTAGGAATATAATACTAATCTGAACAGATAATCTAAAATCTTTCACAATTCTACCTTTAAATCTTTTTAAAATATAAAACTTCACATAGCTTCTTACATAGAATACCAGTTTATTGTTTATTTTTTAAGTAAACATTTAGACTGCAGAGAAATGGACAGAGGAAAAAGAAGAACTGAATTCAGAGTCCAAGGAACTGGGTCCAAATCCCAGCTCTGCCAGTCCTACCTGACTGTGTGATTTGGGACAAGTCACTTTAACCCTACTGGGATTGAGTTTTCTAATTTGAAAAGAAGGTTTTGGGTTAGATAATTTCAGGAGTCCCTTATAGCTTCTAAGTCCTGTTGATTTAAAGTTAAGTGACATTCGACTGACAAGATTACAGGTGAATAAATAAATCAAAATCAAGGTTAAAATTCTGCTTGAAATCCTAAAATTCATCTACCATTATCATTTTCCAACTCAAGTAATTCAGATCTTTTAGGTTTTAATGTCTATGTTTCAAGTTTATGACTTTCATGAAGCATGAGGATAAAATTTACAAATTAATCAACCAGCATTTAATAAGTGTCTACTATGTGTTAGACAGTGAATGAATGAAAAAAAAACATTTATTAAGTATTTACTATATGCCAAGTACTGTAAAGCAAGGGGGTACAAGGGAAAATCAAGAAAGTCCCTGTTCTCAGGGAGCTCACATTTGAAGTGAAGGACACAATAGATACAATGGATAGAAAGGCACACTGGTCCTTAAGAGTACAGAGTGGTCTGGAAGGCCGAGCAGTAGAGTATATGATAAGCTCCGGTGGTCCTCAGGCATGGCGTCAGGCCAAATAGTAAGGCCTCGTGGTTCTAAGGTCTTACAGGAAGGACTATGACTGGTCAGTCAATGAACATTTATTAGGGGATACAAAAAGAGGCAAAAGACAGTCCCTGTCCTCCAGAAGCTCACAATCTAATGGGTGACTCCCTGATCATCAGAATGACCAGCTGTGTCTGCCCCACAGCCAAGTAATGACTAAGGTGAAGGAGAGACACCAAAGGGATTGGAATAGGAGAGGGGCTGGGGGTGAGGGAAATCACTCTCCACCACCAGATCAGCTCCAGCCAGCTTCTGGTGATACCTGGGCTAGAGGAAGGGCAGGTGGGGAGGGGCTGGTTGACTCCACCCTCCAGGAGGATATATTTGTATTTAACTAGATAAGTAAGGCCATTTCTTCCTCCACTGAAATGTAAGCTTGAGTGTGGGAACTGTTTCATTTTAGCTTTGTACCTCCAGTGTTCAGTACAATGCTTAGGACACAGCAGGTGCTTAATAAATGCTGGATAGCTGACTGGTTGGCTTTTCAAGTTTCTCAAAACTAACCTCCACCTACCTTTCTAACACTTCCCTAGGTTACTCCTGCGCCTGCACCCTAGCCTCTTTGTTATTCCTCAGACACAAAACTCCATTCCCCTTCCCTACACCTTTGCTTCGGCATCCTGGGATGCCCTTCCTCATTTTCTATCTCTCCGAATCCAAGTACCACCTTGTAAAACTAGGGGTTCTAGGTAAGAGATATTCCTAATGCAAAACCACTTAATTAGAGAGGTAAATTGGATTGATTTCACCCTTGAGTGATAAAGTGGTAAGAGAATTAGCTTTGGGGTCAGAAGACCTGGTTCAAATCCAATCTCTGATACTTATGACTTGTATCCTGGGGCAAACAAGTCAACATCCCTGGGCCTCAGTTTCCTAATCTGTAAAATGAGAGGGGTGGATTAGACAGTCTCTGAGATCTCTTCCACCTGTAAATCTATGAGGCTATCATCTAGTCACAGGAGATCATTTTTTTATTTGATAAACAAATGGTCAAAAGCTGTATGCATAGAACACTAATGGATTCCCATAAAATATGACCATATCAAACACTTTTAAAGTAATATAAAGTATTTTTAAAACTCCGAAAGGAATATTTAGAATCAGGAAACTACAGTTTTAGGAAAAAGATTCATATATTTTTTTCTCCTAAGAAGAATGCCAAAGTGATTCAGTGTAAATGTCAAAGTGATTTAGTGTTCCTTCTCTCATCACTGTAAAAAGTTTTAAAATAGAAAGCACTTTTTCAAGACTAAAGTCATCATTTATACATGCATTAAAATAAGGTATCAAAGAAACATCTGTTGAGAAGAACTCTAAAACTGAAAACTCAGTAAGAACACAACGTTGCTTTTGGCCACCAAGACACAAAAGGTGAAACTAACCTGCCCAGAGGATGCTAACAAATTAATGGTCGTCAGAAGCATCCAACCTCTGCTGGCTTCTTCGCTCTGGTTGATTTCCAGGAACTGGACTATGGCACGACTTGCCGCCTCTAATGAAACACAATAAGGACAATCAGGAGAGAAGGTGGCACGTAAAAGACAGACGAGAACAAGAATGCAACTCTCACTGACTGTGAGCGGACGAGCTGCCCCACACAGCGAGAGCAGACCCAGGGGAAACACGACAGGGCAGCGGCAATTCCATGATTTCAAGTGGATTGCAATCTTTTAGAGACAAATGGCTCTAAATTCATGAAATGTGCAGACAGCGTATAGGATAATGTGCTGAAAGTGCAAAGTAAAAACTAGAAATGTCACCAGAGTTCAAGGATGGGAGAGGTGATACGAACACTTAGAGAAATAGAAAACTTTGTGCAGAGCTGGATTTTGATTGAAGCTGGAAGGATGGGCAGGTTTGGGATCTGCAGAGATTTGTGAATGGAATACACTGGAGGAGATAAACTGGGCACAGTATGGACTTGCTGGAATGCTGAGGGACACTAATAAGATTTCCCTGATGGTCCAGTATTATCTGGGACAATCTCTCACTGTATGCCCGTCCCTTCCCCTCCCCTGTTGCCTAGGTTTCCCCCATCCTTCTATGAAAAGGTAAAGAAAAAGGAAAAAGAAAAGGAAAGAGGAAAAGAAACCCTTCCCTCAACAGTACACAGTTTTTCCAGCTGATAGGATGGTGTGATAACTACTAAAAATGAATGAAAAGTTACAGTGAAAGGCCAGATTGGAAAGAATGCTACAAACCCGTCCTTCTAGTTCAAGACGGTACAAAAAAAGACTGCCAGAAACCTGAATCTCTTAGTGGGAAAAAAGCCACATCAGGCAGAAGGTGCAGCATGCAAACAGCCTGGAGCCATAGAAAGGGAAAATGTCAGACCAGTGCCCACACAGAGCAGACACGTAGCCACTTGTGAGGCCCCAAAGGAGCAGGACCAGCCAAACCAGTGCCTGTACTATAAGAGGGACGGGTCCAGACCCATGTGGCAGGAGCCCAAATATGACCCAGCAAATTGGAAGCCCACACCAAAGCCACCCCCCCAAAAAAAAGTGGGGTGGAGGGTCAGAACAGCACCCAAGCAGCCCACGCACAGCCACATCATGAAACAGGGCAAGACCATTGAAAGGCAGCCCCATTCCACAGCCGCAGCAGGAGATTGAGCCAAGGCACAGCCTTGGAAACAAAGAGAAAAACATAAGTTAAAATAAACAATTTTGATTATTACAAAATTAAAACTTTTGCTCAAACAAATCTAATTAATAAAAACTGACATGGAAACAGACAAATGGGAGGGGGGGGAAAATTTGCAGCAAGTTTCTCAGATAAAAGATTCATTTCCAAGATATCCACTGGTCATTTCCTTCAAGAAACTCCACACTGAGAACACCTTGAAATGTCACGTCCAAAATTCACAACTTCTAGGTCATTGAAAAATCATTCAAGTGCTAAGGACAATGCCTGATACATAATAAGGAGATCTGGAGAAATGCTAACTGACTGATAAACAGCTAAAATAGAAAAAGACCAGGACTCAGAAACCACAACAAAGATCAGAGAAGATTTTATTGCAACTATTATAAAGAAAGGATTATCCTGGATATACTATGCCAAAAGGCAAAAGAAAAAGTCTTTCAAACCAAGAATAACTTATCCTACAAAAATGATGGATACAAATAGACTTTCAAGCATTCTTCACAAAAAGAAGCAGAAACAAATACAATCTTTTTTGTTGTGAGGTTATTTTGGTTTATTCTTTTCTATTTCTCCCTTTCATAATTGTACCCACCTGTCCCAATTTAACAATTAAAAACAAAAAACCAGCTCTCACAACAAACACATCTAATCCAGCAAAGCAAATTCCCACATTTGCTATGTCCAAGATGTATGTCTCAGTCTGGACTTCCTGAAGTCCATTACTTCTCCTGGGGGGGGGGGGGCAATATTCATCTTTAGCTTGGTAGTACACTGGATAGCACGTGGGACAGCAGTTCAAGAAGAGCCAGGTTTGAATCCTGACTCGCACTTACTAATTGTGTAACCCTGGGCAAGTCTTCAACCTCATTCAGCCTCAGGTTCAAGATCAAATGAGTTCCGTATGAAAAGTGCTATGAAAACCTTGAAGCATCATAAAAACGCTACTTATCCATCATCATTATTATTATTATTATTCAGTCCTCTGGTATAGTGAATGATAACTCCTTAATCAGCATTCTCATGTCTTTCAAAGTTAGTTTTCTCTATAATGTTCTCATTGTATAAATTGTTTTCCTGATACTTTTCACTTAACTCTGCATCTGTTCAGGTCTTCCCAGTTTCCTTTGAAACTATACATTTAATAATTTCTTATGACAAAATAATATCCCATTATATTCACATATTATGCCTTTTTTAGCCATTCCCCAAAAGGTACCCTCCTTTTTAGCTTCCTATCTGGGGCTTCTTTGAAAAGAGCTTATGTAAATATTTTTGTACACAGAGGTCCTTTTCTTTCTTTGCTCTCTGGAGGCACAAGCCTAGTAGTAAGTAGTACAATTGGCTCAAAAGACATACACAATTTAGTAACTCTGGGAGACAAATTGCTTTTACGAAATGGCTGGTCCAACTCCCAGCTCCACATGGGGCATCAGTGTGCCTCTTTTCTACAGCTGCTCCAATATTTGGACCCGAGAGTTCCTTTAGTTTGACTTTCTCTCATTATTAGTGACTTGGGGCATTTTTCATACAGTGATTAAGCACCTGAAAACTGCTTGTTCACTTCATTATTATGGAGTGGCTCTTAGTCTTATAAACAGAAATCAGTTCTGTGCATATGAAGGTATCTATGTATGATATGAAACTTTTTTCAGAAAACTTTTTCCCCAATTACTTGTTTCACTTCTAATTTTAACTACATTAAACAGTCGGTAATTAAGCATTTACTAAGTGCCTGTTACATGTCAGGAAAAATCTCACCCATTTGTGCAAAAAAGAAATTTAACTTTACGTAATCAAAATTGTCCATTTTATTTTTGGTGATGCTATCACTTATTTAGTGAGGAACTCTTCCCCTATCCATAGATCTGACAGGTAATTTTTTTTTCCTTGCTCAGTGCTTCTATTAAGCACAGAAATGATTAATATCTGCTGACTGACTGACTGATATATCAATTTGGAGTTTATCTTGGCTTGAAACATTGGTCTGTACCCCATTTCTACCACACTGCTTTCCAGTTTTCTAAGAAATTTTTGTCCAATAGTGAGTGTTATCTGAGGAAGTGGGATCTTTGGGTTTAATGAACACTGAGCTACTGTGTTAGCTGGCTTCTGGTGTGTACCTAATCTGTTCCACTATACTGGTTACCAAATAATTTTTAATAATTACTGTTTGGCAGCATAGCTTTAGATCTGACACTCATCAACCCTCTTTCTTGCCACTCTTTTTTCATTAGTACCCTTTAGATTATTGACCTTTTGCTCTTCCAGATGAATTTCATTATTTCTTCTGACTCTACAAAATAATTCCCTGGTAGTTTGATTGGTATCACACTGAAATTAATCAAATTAGCAAATTAATTTGGGTGCTGTGGTCACCTTTGTGATATTGCCCCCATTTAACTGGATAGAATCTCTGAAATATGCATAGAGGAGACAAGAGAAGCCTAGAAAGGAAAACACATCTGATCAAGTAGAAGGGACTGAGTGACAGTCAAGTACTTCTGTTCCAATAGAGGGAGAAGAGGCAAATGCCACTGAGAGAGAAAATTAAGACAAAAAGAGGGCCAGAGTGTGATTTTTTTTTTCCTGTTTTGCTGGCTTTAAAGGAGATAAGGGAGGAAAAAGGAATATACTATGGAAAAAAAAGAGAAAGAAGAGAAAGTCACTTCTTATTTCTCCTTTGTAGGATACTCCATAAAAAGAAAATACAAATGGGGGGGGAATAGAGTGAGTCATTATCTCACAAATCTTACTCTTTCTCTCTCTCTTTCTGTCTCTGTCTCTCTCTCAATGAAAAAAAAAAGGTATCAGCCTGGGAGAATAACCACAGCTCACATTCACATATTGCTTTACAGTAACATTATGAAGAAAGTAAATTGATTCTGTCATTTTATCATTGATTCTATTCTGTAATTTATCCTACTCTGTATTACTGCCCATTTTTGTATGATTGCTCAAGCTGCATTTTCTTTGTCTCTTTGTCTATGAGCTAAGTCTAGAAGTTAAGTTCTCTTGCTAATCATTGTTCTACTCTTGGCTCAAAGAAATCTGTTATCCTTGAGGGATGAGATGGACATGAGGGAGTCTGGTCCACTATCTTCAATGTTGCAGGTAAACTCAAACAATGAACAAGTAGTCACAGGAGTTGAGTTTTCCTCTCTGCGTTAGTTCAAAGAAAAACTTGTTATCCCTCATACTTTCAGCTCCTGGAAAATTCCATAACATCTGTTTGCTATCTTCGAAGGCCTACAAGCCAAACTAGTACATTTCCACAAGACATACTACCTATTCTCGCCCAACCTTGTATAATTAAGGAGGGTCTTATCTCCTTCCTAGAAGCAAGGAAGTCTGTTATCCCTGGACCACTATCAATAGCCTCAGAGTACTAATGGGGTCCCCTAAATCAATCAAGCATTCCTCAAGACAGAGAGGGATAATTGCCAGCCTCCATGTGAGGGCTAGCCTACTCTTCTCGATGTAACCAATCATGTTGTCATCACCCCTATGATGCTGCCAGCCCTGTAACCAATTTCATTCTCTTCCCCACCTATTCAGCTTTATTCTTTGTTCTCTTCTAATTCCCAAAACTATATGAAGGCTAGTAAGCCCCTACTCATATATGGTCTTTGGTCATTGAAAGAAGCCATTGACCCACTATAGTGTTTACTGCTAGCCTACTTAATTAATTGATCATGCTCAGATCACTGTCTCTCAGTTTACCTTAATTGTCATGTTTTATACCCACAACAACCCAGTAAGGCATGTTCTGTTATTATCCCCATTTCAAAAATGAAGAAGTTTAGATTCAGTAAAATCATGTGATCTGCAAAGGGTCTATGGGAA